TACTATGACAAATTTTTCTATATAATTAAACTTTACCCTGGTCTCTGTTTCCCTTCCCAATATGTATATGTTTAACCCATTTGCTAAAGATGGGTGGACATTTTAGCAGAAGCCTTTCTCTCTCTGAGAGCTTATACCCTCCCTTATTTATTTTATAATTGTCTTTGGTATTTGACGTGCGTGTGTTAAGGACCACATCAGACAGTGTTTGGACAAAATGCATTTAAAAAGCATTCAAAGGTGCTGGGTGGTGGCTCAGTGGTGGAGCGCTTGCCTAGCATGTGTGAGGCACTGGGTTCAATTCTCAGCACTGCATATAAATAAATAAGTAAGTAAATATGTGTGTGTGTGTGTGTGTGTGTGTGTGTGTGTGTGTGTGTGTATATATATATACATATTTTTAAATGCTTATATATAAGCATTTAAAAATAGTCCCTCTTTAATTAAAAATTCTTCTTCCTGTTCTGATTACTCTGCCTCGCTCCTGTGGGCATCCCCCCCTGTGAGAAGCAGTGATAGAAATAGACTGCCCTGGGCTGGAGATTTTTTTTTAACAAACCTAGAAGAATCTATAATTTTCTACTTTTTATCATCTTATGAAAATAGTAGTTACCTCCTGAATATAAAGTCATACTAAATGTGCTTTTAGAAGTTGTCCTTGAGCCCCTGCCTCCAGGTTGCCCACAGGTCCTCTTGGACTCCCTGGTAGAGTGCATGTTTGATGTGCCCATGTTCCCTGCGCCCTCTCTCTGGATGTCTCAGAGTCGCCGTTAACAGCACTGCTTGTCTTTCTCTGCAGTCGATGGCCCTGTCCAGACTCTGATGGTTGTCGGTCCCTCATGATTTGGCAGTTGTCGCTGCTGTCAGACCTTCCCTGTCACTCAGTGCTGATAGCCATGTGCCTTCCTTTCCGCCACAGCATTCAGACCTGTTGTGGGCCAGGAAGCCAGATACATAAGCCTCTTAGATTATGCCTCATAAGTAATTTTCTTTTCTTTCTTTCTTTCCACATTCTTTATTGGTGCATTATGGTCGTACATGATGGACTGGATTTGTTATCTATTTGAACAGGCACACAGTGTCATTGGCCAATGTCACTCCCCACACTTCCCCTTTCCCTCTCTAAGTGATTTTAGATGAGACCCTGAGGCGTCCCTTCATTTTCAGGAGCTTTGTGCATGGAAATTGTGTCAGTTGCTTTAAACATTCAGAAGCCACTTTTGCCTGCTTCTTAGTTTTCAGCTGTTAGAGACATTCGAAGGGGTCAGCCGTGGACCTCCAGATCTTGGCGTTTGCTCAGTAGTGATTTTCAGGCTGCTGAGAGGGCTATCTGGGCCCTGGATAGGATATGGCTATGGCCCTTTGGCCCTTTAAAGGTTTTGAAAATCGGTTTCTTTGACCTTTGGAGGAGTCTTAGGCAGAAGCTATGTAGCTATTTTGGGGCCTGGAATCTAGTGATTTTTTTTTTCTCTTTTTTTTGCTAGTGATTTTTTTTTGTTGTTTGTTGCCTTGCATCGTTGTATCATTAGGTTTTCTGAGTTTAAAATACTATTAATTTGGGGCTAGAGCTTTGAGTCAGTGGTTGAGTGCTTACTTAGCATGGTAATGCACTGGGTTCAATTCTCAGCATCACATAAAAAAAAAAAAAAAAGTATTGTGTCCATCTACAACTAAAACAAATATTTTAGTTTTTTCCTTTTTTTTGTGGTGCTGGAGATTGAACCCAGAACCTTTTGCATGCCAGGCAAGCACTCTACCAACTGAGCTACATCTCCAGCCCTAAAACAAATATTTAAAAAAAATATTATTAATTCAGGAATGAGGCAAGGATATCACTTGTCACCAGCTCTCTTTTCAGCATTATACTGGGATCCACTAATGCAAGATAAGACCTGGAAGTGAAAGAGTACAGATTGGAAAGGAAGAAGTGAATAATCTTTGTTTTCAGATGACAAGATGTTAAAAATCTAAAAGAATTGACAAAAAATCCCTCTAGGAACATTAGTTTTAAAGCAATTGTAGAAGGGCTGTAGGCTGCAAGGCCAGTATGCAAAAATCAGTTGCTTTTCATGTACCCGCAATGGATTTTTTAAAAAAAATATTTATTTATTTTTTTATTTTATCGGCAGACACAACATCTTTGTATGTGGTGCTGAGGATCGAACCTGGGCCGCACGCACGCCAGGCGAGCGCGCTACCGCTTGAGCCACATCCCCAGCCCCGCGCAATGGAATTTGAAGTTATAAATGTATTAACATTTACATTAGCGTCCGCAAAACAAAATACTTAAGTATGAGGCTAACGGATTTGTAGAAGTTCTATAGGAGGAAGATTTAAAACCGATAAAACTAAAGAACCAAATAAATGAAGAGAAATCCCTTCTCATGGAGAGGAAGGCTGAGTGTTGTCCTGTCCTTTGTTCCCAGTGGGCTACAGAGATGCAGCCCAAACCCAGGGAATCTCAGCAGTTGATTTTGTGAACATTGATGTACTGATTCTAAAGTTTTTATCAAGAGACAAAAGGCCCAGAATGGCCAACAGCCAGGGGAAGGACAAAGTTGAAAGACTGACACTACTCTGCTTGAAGACTTTCCATGATTCTGTGGTAATCAAGAAAGTGTGGAATTGCCAAAATAATAGGCCAATAGATCAGTGGAATAGTATACAGAGTTCAGAAAGAGATCCACATAAATATAGTCAGCTGATCTTTGCCAGGAGCAATGGTAATATAGTAGAGAAAGATAGTTCTGTTCTTATTGGTTCATGTTAGTTGTGCATACATTAGGATTCATTTTGACTTAAATGCATGAATATAATTGGTTGATATTCAGTCCCCAGAACCTACCCTCCTGCCTCCCTTCCCTTGTTTCCTTTCCACTACTGAAGAAGAGAATTCTTTCAACAAGTGGTTCTAGAACAACTGGACGCCACATGGTCTAAATGAATCTAGATATAGCTCTTAGACCCTCATAAACTTAAACTCAAGATGAATCACACGCTTCAGTGTAAAAGCATGAAATTATAAAACTCCTAAAAAGATAATTTGGAAAATATGACCCAAGATGACGTTGGATTTGGTGACAGCATTTTAGAGTCAACACAAGAGTCATGATCCACAAAAGAAAAATCTTGTTCAGATTAAGCATTTTTGCTCTGTGAAAGATATTGTCAAGAAAGTAAAAAGAGAGGCTGGGAATATGGCTCAGGCGGTAGTGCGCTCCTCTGGCATGTGTGCGGCCCGGGTTCGATCCTCAGCACCACATACCAACAAAGATGTTGTGTCCACCGATAACTAAAAAATAAAATATTAAAAATTCTCTCTCTCTCTCCTCTCTTTAAAAAAAAAAAAAAAGTAAAAAGAGAAGCCACGGACTGGGGAAAACACATACCTGATAATGACTATTATTCAAAATATAAAAGAACTCTGAAAATTTAACAATAAGAAAACCAATAACTTGATTTAAAAAGTGGTCCAAGGATCTTAATTGATTCCTCAGCAGAGAAGATACATTTTTGAGCACTCGAGAAGACTCTCCACATTATGTCAACAGGAAATGCAGATTCAAACAGCACGAGCCCACTGTGCTCCTGTTAGAAGGGCCAGGAACACAGCAGCAGCAAATGCTGCTTTGGTGTTTGCTGGTGAAAAATGCAAAATGGTATGGCCATTGGGAGGGTGGTGTGGCGTTTCCTTTAAAACTAAACATACTCTGGTCCATCCAGCCTGGTGCTCCTTGGTGTGCGCTCGGAGGAGTTGAAAACTTCAGTCCATAAGAGCTGCCGCATGGATGGATATAGCAGCTTTATTCATAACTGTCAAAGCTTTAGAACAGGATGTCCTTAAGGGGTAGGTTGGTAAACAGCCGGGTATGTCCAGGTAGTGACGCACTGTTCAGTCCTCAGAAGAAATGAGCTGTGCGCCATAGAAGGATGTGGAGGAGACCCAAGTGCAGCTTACTAAGTGGAGAATCCAGTTGGAAGGCTCCATCCTATGAGTCCAACTAGGTGACATTCTGGAAAAGGCAGAACCACGGGGACAGTAAAAAGATGTGGGGTGAGGGAGAGGGAGAGGGAAGGATTCGTGAGTGGAACTGCGCTGGGTGATGTCGCAGTGGGAGACATGGGTCTTCAGAACATTTGTCCCAACCCACAGAGTGGACGACGCCAGGAGTGGACCTGATGCAAACTGGTAGCGGGTGCACCTCTGCCTCAGACCTGGCAGCTGGCTCACTTCTGTTTTGGTTCTGTAGCCCGTGGGCATTTCTGCTGGTGAGCGGGAGCAGGGCGGCTAACAGGCTTTGGCCGCGTTGTTTGAAATAGGTCTCCCGGTGAAGCAGCAGCCTCGGGCACATGTAGTGATCGTCAAATTGGCTTCTACATCCTTTTAGCATTTTTATTTTAAAGTTAGCGGATAGGCCTCTGAAATTATTTCAGGTCCCTAAGAAGTGACCTAATAGGTAAAGTGTGTAGTATAAGCAGTGATGATTCATGCAGTTTTAATTCGTCTGTCTGGTCTTAAAGGCACACAAGTGGGGATAAAGAAGGGTCAACAAGAAAGTGGAAAAACAAAACAAAATAGGGCAACCAAGTTGTTTTGTTTCAACACCATTAAGAAGGAGACTTAAAATAGAGATTTCTAGTAAAAGGATTAGTACTTTTAATTTTAGTCTTTCACTTTAAACTAGAAGACTTAGGAATTCTTAGGGTTCAAAAGTTGAAAATTCTAGGCTTTGAAATTTTTCTGAAGACTGACTGGGCTTCGTAACTATTTTCACTGAAATCCATTTCCAGGTTCTTTCAGTTTTAATAAATCAATGTTGTAAGCACAATCAAACTGCACAGTACCATTCGGCATGTCCTGTTTATACAGTAAATTTTTAATGATTGTACTTAGAAATATATTTTAAAATAGTTGATGGTGGCCCTTTTTTGTGTTTTGCATGAATGAGGACACATTTCTTTTGTTATGCGTCAGTTTTGATATTGGGTATTGCACGTCTGGAGCTAATTGAACACTTCTCATTTTTAGGTCCTAACATTTGGCTGGAGTATGGTCAGTACTCCGTTGGTGGGATCGGTCAGAAAGGTGGCCTTGAGAAGGTTCGCTCTGTATTTGAAAGGGCTCTCTCATCTGTCGGTTTGCACATGACCAAAGGACTGGCCATCTGGGAGGCCTACCGAGAGTTTGAAAGTGCCATTGTGGAAGCTGCTCGGGTGAGTGTCCAGGTCTCCAAGGCCCATGCTTCCCTCTTAATGGTCAGGGGTGGTCTTTCTGAGTCTTGGAAGTATCATTTTGAGACAAGGGTTCAGGATAGGTCTTACAGTAAACATAGTTAACAAAATAGTCCTTGCTAATCTGTTTGTGGATGGACAATAAAATAAATAAAATTAGTAGTATTTATGGAATAGCAAGAATGGTTTATTTGACTTAAAAGCAGATGGCTACTATTTTTTTTTCTGATATTTTAAAACTCTGCTTTAGTTACAGGTGAATGCAAGAACAGCATAGCATTTCACTAGGGAAAATGTTGGGGAGGGAGGTTTGACCTCATACTCCATAATAATTCATTTTTTAAGATTATGATTTATGGAATTCTATAGCCGAGTCCCCTCTGTGCTGCATGTGCACATGCACAGTTGTCAGTGATGCATCGTGGGGCCCCTGACAGGCCGTGGTAGGTTGAGCATCCCTTATTCAAAAATTTGAAATCTGAAAAATGTTTCAAAATTTGTCACAAGTTGAAAATTCCACACCTAGTGTCATGTGATGCTGGGTCACAGTCAAAACCGAGGTGCACTGAAAATCTTGTATAAAATTTTCCTCAGACTGTGTGTATAAAGTGTCTGTGAACACACAGGCCCCCCCACCAGGCTCACTCACTGTGTATGTGCAGATATTCTAAAAACTAAGAGTCCAGACTCAGCGCCCCGTCCCCTCAGCATTCATGGCCCAACAGCCGCGGGGGCTTCTGGGTTACCCCCGCTTCAGAGGCTGGCGTGGTGCCTTCGCCTCACCCTGCGTGACGCTTGCGACTCTAGAGTCAGACTTGATCCCTGCAGGTCTGTGCTCCCACTGTGCCCCGAACATCTTTGCCACTGTCCTTTATTGAAGTGGAAGTCTCTGAGCCTGCAGTGCGCCCCAGGGCCCCTTCTCTGGGATCCGCCTCATTGCCCCGTCTCTGACGGCAGGGCCCTCACAGGTCTCACCAAGCAGGCCCCGTAACTCGATGGCCCTCGTGGTGCTTTGCTCTTATGAGACTGAAGCACTGTGGCTATTTGGATGCGTTTCTTGCATTATTCTTGGCTCTTCCTGCCGCAGACCCTTACAGGCAGGGGTGGCATTTACTTTTGAGCACCCCCAGGCATTTGCTCGGATGCCATCTGTGTAAGAGGAGGTAGAAAAGTTTTTCTAACTTGAACCGAAAATTTGATGAGATGTTTTTTGAAGTAGAAAGAACCAAAGTGTACCATTTACTACTGATTTGCTTCTTTAGCCCATGACTGGCTTCCTTTCCCCTTTTGACCGGGAACAAACCTTTGATTCACAGCTTGAGAAAGTCCACAGTCTTTTCCGGCGACAGCTGGCGATCCCCCTCTACGGTAAGAGAAACGGCTCACAGCCCGCTGTGCTTTAAAATGCTTCCTTCTGACTGTCCTGAGCTAGACCTTCTCTGTCCTGTGCAGAGCTGGGCCTGGGGTTCTCATCCTTCCTGGACAGTGTCACCTGGATGAGGTCCTTAGTAAAACCTGTGTTGAGTTGGAATGTCCAGGAGGGTCGTCCGAGTCTGCAGGACTGGCAGCCGGCCCCTCCGCCCCGCGGAGCTCTCCTCCCTACTTCAGCATGTGGGTGGGAAGGGGAGATGGTCTCTGAAAAGAATAGGAAGATGGACACCTGCATTTCCTGGGGAGAATATTGAATAAAAATTTTGTTAAAAGCATTTTCTTTTCATGATAGCCTCATGGGCACGTGGGGGGGGGTGTCATTCCTCTGTGGATGCGCTTTGGTTCAGAAGTACGGTTCCCTGCCTAGACTCAGGTTTGAATTTAAGAGTCTCCCTTTTGGCTGAATACATTTTGGTGAGGTGAGCCTTTGGCATTAGAACTCTGAGCAAGGGCAGCACTGGAGGACTTTCCAGTGTGGGAAGCGTTTGGTGCTGTCCTCTCATCTGTCCCCAGCGCACGGTTACACACTCAGAGCCTCTGGGCAGCTCTGCTTGAGCCCAGCTCTATTCGCCTTTGAACTTCACGGTTTATTTGGATTGTATTGAACGTACTAGAAGGAGGCTGTCTAATTGGGTGACATGCGGCAGAGGTCAGAACTGAACTGGTTTGTAGCTTTCATCTTGCACACCACTGGGAGACAGCCTGGCTTAGTGATTAGAGTGTGAACTTGGACCTGACTGTCCTGTTCAAAGCCTTGTTCTGCTGTTACCTGTGGAGAAGTCACTTAACTTTCTGCTTCAGTTTCTCCATTTGCAAAATGAGGATTATGATAGCGCCTGCCTTGTAGAGTTGCGAGTGCAGATGAGGGGATGGGTGTGTGGTGTTAGAATCAGCCCTGACGCCCTAGGTAAGTGTCGCCCACAGCTTCAGTGACTGATGAGTTGACTGGTAGAGTTGTCTGGCATGTCACTTTGACACAGATTCTAAGGCCAAACCTGGGCTCAGCAAAAGAACTCAGAATGTGATCTATAGAGCTGCTGTGGCCATTGGTATCGGAGGGGCCTAGTGGCACTTGAGTCCATGACATTTTCTATGTTTGGGTTGATAAAACCCAGTGGCAAGATCCATGGGGCTGAATTCGTCTTTTGATAGATATGGAGGCCACATTCGCCGAGTATGAAGAATGGTCAGAAGACCCAATACCAGAGTCGGTTGTTCAGAGCTATAACAAGGCGCTGCAGCAGTTGGAGAAGTACAAGCCCTATGAAGAAGCTCTGGTGAGTGTCCTGCTTTTATGGGGAACTTCTCTCTGCACACATTTCCCTGATGGATAGTTGCAAGTTAACAGTATCTTGAAAAGTATGTTTTATTGTGCAGTATGTAGAGTATTATAATGTGTACCTACAGTTTATATTGTATAATAAAGCGAACATCCATGTACCCACCACCCAGGTTAAGAAATAGAACATTGCCAGTACCTTAGAAGTCTTCTATGTGCCCCTCTCCGATTGCCTCCTCCTCCCTCTCCCGAGAGGTAATCACTTTCCTGACTTTTGTGATAATCATTCCCTTGCTTTTCTTTATAGTTTTACAATCTATGAATGCATCCTTAATTAATATATTGTTTAATTTTGCTTGTGTTTAAATTTATAATGTATTCTTGCTGTATATCTTCTTTCATCCAACACGTTTTGGGGCTTCATGTAGAGGAGTAGAGGACAGTCCATTCGTTGTCATTGCTAGGAGGTTGTCTGTGTGTGTCACAGTTGGTGTGTCCGTGTGGCTGGTGGGCAGTTGGGTGGTTCCAGGTTTTTGGTAGGAGGGTCGCTGTTGCTTGAACATCCTGGTTTGTGTCTTGTGGTGGACATGTGGGAGGTTTGAGGTCTGTATTGGGCATGAAGGTGCTGGATGGTCGGGCGATGCCTGTGTTTCAGTGGTCTGTTTGCACTCAGCCAGCGCCGTCTGAATTGCTTGCTCTGGCCACTCTTACACACTTAAATTGTAGCCAAACTCTGGTATGTTTGAAATCATAATTCTAATTTGCATTTTCCTTGATTACTAATGCAGTCGGACATCTTTTTATGTTCACTGGCCTTTTTCTGAATTTCCCTTTCTGTGAAGTGCCCATAAAATTTTGACCTCCCACCTGTTTGTCTCCCCCAGTTGTGCTGGGGTTGGCTGCGCCCCAGTCCTTCCTGTTTTTGTCTGTTTCTGGTGGGTTCTTGGGAGCGCTTATTCTTGGCTGTACATGTTACTGTCCTCCACCCCCGCTCGTGGCTCCTCTTTTCAGTGTCCTGTTTAGTGGTGTCTTTGGATGAGCACGTCGTGACTTTACTCTGGCCAGGCTTGTCCTTCTTTCCCTTTGGGTCGTGCTGCCTCTGTGGTCACACCAGGTCTCTCCTGTCTTTACATCTGTCTCCAGCTCTCTTCTCCTCGTGGTCGCCTCATCTTTGTCTGATGTTTGGGTCCCTCACTCACCATATTGGTCTATGGTGGTGTGAGGCCGGCTGGCTGCTCGGTTCCCAAGTGGAGACGGGTGGCAGCCCCGGCTCCTGTAATTCCACCCCCTCCTCCCGCTGGTGTGCAGTGGCACTTCTGTCACAGGTTAACAGTCCATTTGTTTGCCTGGCCCCCCGGGGGGGGGTCTCTGCTGGCTTGTGTTGTGCTGCGGGCAGCGGGGATGGGACCCAGGGCCTCGCCGTGCTGGGCCAGTGTTGTGGTTTCAGGATGTGTTGGGACGGGTGAGTCCTCCCCGCCTCGTTCCTTTTCAGAGGAACTTGGCTTTCTTTAGTTGTTGGTGATTCCATTAAACTTAAGAGTTAGCTTTTAAAATTCTGTGGAGTTTTCATTTGGAATCATATTGAATCTGTAGATTAGTTGGAGGAAAAATCTATGTCTTCCAATCTGTGACCATTTTATAGGTCTCTGAAGTTAGGTCTTTCTGAAAAGCTTTCTAATAATTTTACAAGTTAATCTAATGTTTTAAACATTTTTAGATGTATTTGTTTTGAAGGTACTTCTAAATGATGTTTTCAGAGATTTTTATTTTCTAGTTTTCTTGGTGTATAAAATGCAATCAATATTTTATATTAATTTTTTTAGTCAACCAATGTGTTGAATTGTTTTGTTAATGTGTCTGTTGGGTAGAACAGGGATTGATGCAGGGCTGCTTCACAAACGCTGAGCTCCATCCCCAGTCCTTGGTGTTTTTTGTTTTGAGAGGGTCTTTCTAGGTTGCTGAGGCTGGCTGCGAGCTTGTGACTCTCCTGCCTCATCCTCCTGAGCTGCTGGGATTGCACGTGCCCCTGCCCTGCTGGCTTCTTATTATCAGGCTCTGGGGGCTTCGGGATAGTGGTGCTGACAATATTATTTGTGAGTGGCACCCCGCCCCTGCTCCGGCAGATGGACGCTCTCTTTTTCCCTCCGCCTTGCCTTTTGCTCTGAGCTGGCGTCATGATTAGCAGTGCGCTTTACGCTCCCAGTTCGTTTGCGAATGCCCTCCTGCTTTCTTTGCCTTCCTTCCATCTTGGATCCTGGAGTCTCAGCTGAGATCCCGGCTGGAGTGTCGTCTGGGAGGTCTGGCTTCCCTGGTCACTCAGGCTGCAGGCGGTGCCCGGCAGCTGTGTGCTCAGTGGCTGGCCAGCAGCAGGCCGGCTCTGGTTTCTGGGCTTGCCGTCGGGAAGGTAACTGCCTGCCTCCAGCCTCCGGCCTCCTGCTTGTTGAAGTCGTTGTGTTTCTTCTTCCTCTTCCTCCTCCCTCTTTGTCTGCTTTGCTTTGCTGCTGCTGCTGCTGCAGGCAGCGGGATGGAACCCAGAGCCTCGCACATTCTGGGCAAGTGCTTGGCCCGGCCAGCTTTGTTGTCCTGCTGCCTGACTTTAAGTCCTCCTTGGTTGACTGGATGTCTGCAGCGCCCTTACCACAGGTCCAGAGGTGACTGTCTCTTTGTTGGTCCTGTTGGAGGTTTGTGGGCTTCTGGATTCTGTTTTAGTCCTTTTTTTTTTTTTATTGGTTGTTCACAACATTACAAAGCTCTTGACATATCATATTTCATACATTAGATTGAAGAGGGTTATGAACTCCCAATTTTATCCCAAATGCAGATTGCAGAATCACGTCAGTTACACATCCACAATGTTTTAGTCCTTTTTGGCACAGCGAGTGGAGCACCGACTGCGAGTTAGGCTGCCTAGGTGAGCCCTGGTCCTGTCACTCACTCTGACTCTGGTGAGGAGTGAGCCCCTGTGTCTCGGCTTCCCTGAAGGCAAGATGCGGATGGCAGTGAGACTCGCAGTGCGATGGTTGTGAGATCAGATCTTACTGTCTGCTGAGCCATCGGAAGCTCAACCTCCCCTCAGCAGCTTAGCCTGCTGCCCTCCGTTAGATTTTCTCCTTAGTATTTCCTGTTCCTTTGTCAGTTTGTTAATTTTTTAGGAAGATTTAAAACTATTTAATCCAGCAGTTTTCGCTGTTCTCAGTGGCACACTTTGGGTGGTTCGCCATCACACAGGAGGCAGGTGCTATAGCATCGTGTCTCTGTGCAGAAAGGGCATGCCCTCTGCTCAGCCTGCAGGTGCCCCCCCTGCTCAGCCTGCAGGTGCCCCCCGCCCTTTACCTGTAAAGGTTGGTTGTATGTGTGCGTCACGAACCTTGTTAAGGAGTAGTGCTCACCAGCTGAGTTTTGTCATGGCCATCAGTGCAGTGTGGCTGAAGAAAAAACAAGTTGAATCAGAGGATGCTGTCTAAAAAGAGTTTTGCTCCTGTGTCGCTGGGTGCACCCAGCCCAGCTTCCCTGTCTTTTCCCTGGGCCTGTGCCCCGTGGGAGCCGGTGTTTGGAGTGAGCTACCTGCTACAGCACAGGCACAGGGTCTTTCCAGTTGGGTTGCCCTTATGCGGCTCAGTGAGTTCTGTGGTGAAGGATGATGGGCAGCGGTCATTGCTCTTTCATTCACTTTCTGACTGGTGACCACTTTAAATTCCCCGTGGTCCAGGAATGTATTCAGTTTTGGAGCCTTTGTAACTGTTGCCATGAGGGGGCACTTTGGACCAGAGGAGAAAACTAGGGCTGTGCTCATCAAAGTACCCACCTGTCTTGGATTAGTCCCGAGAGGGAGGATTTGGTGATTCTTCTCCTGGCATAGCCACTCTTGCCAACATTTATTTTATTTGGAGATGTTTTGTGTTTCCTGACAGTGTCCAGTAACTGAATTAAACCCATGTACAATCTTCCTGTGCTCCAGCTGCAAGCAGAGGCACCGAGGTTGGCAGAATATCAAGCGTACATCGATTTCGAGATGAAGGTGGGCGACCCCGCTCGTATTCAGTTGATCTTTGAGCGGGCCCTTGTCGAGAACTGCCTCGTCCCAGACTTATGGATCCGTTACAGTCAGTACCTAGTAAGATAACCGTTCTGCCTTGTTTTGTTTTTGCCAGAATATGATTATAGGGCATCATTAAGACGGCCAGAAGTTAGTTGCATGTGCCGGGTGCAGTGGCACACGCACACCTGTAATCCCAGTGACTTGGGAGGCCGAAGCAGGAGGATCATAAGTTGAAGGCCAGCCTAGGAAAGTTTGTGAAACCTTGTCTCAGAAAATAAAAAGGGCTCAATATGTAGCTCAGTGATAGAACTCTGGTAGGTTCAATCCCCATCTCCTCAAAAAAATAAAAGAAACCTGCTGCCTTTGTCCCCCTTCTCTATCCTCCTGTTCTCAGACTCTTTGTTACTTTGCTTAGGGATTTCTTCTCGTATTTGAAGGTTATTTTTATCTTAATTTTTGTTACTGGAGATGGAAGCCAGGGGTGCTGTGGGTTCAACTCAAGGTATTAGGTTACATTCCCAATCCTTTTTATTATATTGAGACAGGGTCTTGCTAAGTTGCAGAGGCTAACCTTATACTTTTGATCCTCCTGCCTTGACTTCCTGAGCCGCTGAGATTATAGGTGTGTACCAATGTGCCCGGTTTGAAGTTATTTTTTATTGATCACTAACTGTGTAAAAAAATGTGCTTGTATCCCTACTCTTGAGGACTTAATAATGAATTGTTTTTTTCTTTTAACTTTTGATTATAGAAAAAATATAAACAAAAGTAGACAGACTAGGAAAATGAAGGCTTATATATCTGTCTTCATCTTCAACAGTGGTTAACTATTATGGCTGTATTCTGGGTTCATCTTTAATTTTACTACTTTCCCCTTTTGTGTTATTTTGAAGCATATCCAAAAATGATATTTCATTGAGAAATATTTCTGTATGTACATACAAAAGATCCTTTTTATATAAAAGGATCCAGACATGGTTCACATGTTAGGATTGGTTGATGTCTTTTAAGCCTCTCTTACCTAGGTTCTCCCCACCCACTCCTCTCTTATCTACTTCCCTGGCAAAAGAGACATAATAATGGAAATTTCTCTTGTCACTTGATTGTGCTGACAGTATCTAGTTGATGATGAAGTTTTTTTTTTTTTTATTGTTGTTGCTGGACCTTGTATTTTATTTATTTATATATAGTGGTGAGACTTGAACCCAGTGCCTCACATGTGCTAGGCAAGCGCTCTGTAGCTGAGCCCCAGCCCCATCCCCAGCCCGATGATGAAGTCTCAACAAGAACATTTTGTCTTCTCACCCTGGACTTCTTTCTCCTAGGATCGGCAGCTGAAAGTGAAGGATCTGGTTTTGTCTGCACACAGCCGTGCTGTTAGGAACTGCCCCTGGACTGTTGCCCTGTGGAGCCGCTATCTCCTGGCCATGGAGAGGCATGGAGTTGAGCATCGAGTGATTTCTGGTGCGTGTGTTTTTGTGGGAAGACTTTCTGAGCTTTTTGTCCCAACTGAGAAATGGAACTGGGAAAAGTCATGAAGTCAGCATTCCCTAGGGTTTTCTTGGAATATTGAGTACTAGTGACCAAAGGGGCTCTGAGTGGAGGTAAGCTGGCTATGTTGGTGGCTCCTAGATCTTTCCAACATGCTCAGACTAATTGGGATCATTTGTAAAGAAGCGGTGGTCTGTTCTCCATCCTGGACTCTCCTTGCAGGGCGTCTGTGGAGTGAGGCCTGCCAGAGCACTGTCTGTGGTGTCGTGTGAGCCTCCCTTTGGAGCATTTTTCTCCAGCTTATTTCACTTCTGTTTTCTAAGTCATGAGGTGCTCTGTAGTCAGCAGAGCTTATTAACTTTATATGAGCATCTTTTTGAATTGGCACTGAATCCTGACCTTTTCTCCAACTTCAGTGACCTTTGAGAAGGCTTTGAATGCTGGCTTCATCCAGGCCACCGATTACGTGGAGATCTGGCAGGCGTACCTGGATTACCTGAGGAGGAGGGTGGACTTCAAGCAAGGTACCGCAGCACCCGCTCTTCCTGGAATTGGGCTTCTCCCGACACCTCCTGGGTGCCATGGTTTACCCCAGGCCAGGCCTTGGCACCCCCCACCCCCGGGCATCAGTGCACTGTGGAGAGGTGCCCAAGGTTCCTGTGGCTCCTGCCAGCCTGCAGCCTCCTCTTAGTTTTCACTTCTTCTTCTCTCTTTTTTTTTTTCAATAAGTTCCAGATAGTTTTTAAAATAAGGCTGATGATGTCCTTTAGCTGTTTGGCTCTCTGCAGGACCCCTGCTTGATGCCCAGCTCCAACCCTGCTCCCCCAAAAGAAAAGAGGAACCCCAACATGTGCGTGGGCACCTCACGGTGGTTATTTTGTGCAGGTGGCCTTCAGCCGTGCTTCTTCTGGCCTCCAGCTCATTTGGGGAGACCCCCATCCTGCTGTGATTCCCCACGTCCCCAGTGCACACCTCTGGCTCTGCCCTCTGTCCCCACTGTGTCCTTCCCCAATCTCATTCTTCCCTTCTGTGGGAAGAGCTGGGATGGGGCTGTTGTTTCTGGTCTTCTGCCTGATGCCAGGCGCAGGTTGGGTTTCCAGGCAGGTATAGGATTAAATGACAATAAAAAAAGTGGCAGCCTGGGTGACTCTGTATGACCCTTTTTGCGATTTCCAACAGACTCCAGCAAGGAGCTGGAGGAGCTGCGGTCGGCGTTCACGCGCGCTCTGGAGCACCTGCAGCAGGAGGTCGAGGAGAGTGAGTCC